GGCTTCCATCACCATGCTCCTCTTCCTTTAGAAAGCTGGGAAATAGAGTCTAGCTGTGTGTCCAGGAAGACAAGAAAATGGGTTTGGTCACTAGCTAGCAGTTTCTGCCTCAATGGGGAAGCTAGCAAATGAGTATATTCTTTATTCTAGGAATGGGAGTGTTCCACTAGAACAGAGAATAATTTTCTTCTTTTCTTTGGCGGGGGAGTGTGTTAGCGGGGGGTGGGGAGGAGAGGAGGGCCACAGAGAGAGAGAGAGAGAGAGAGAGAATCTTAAGTAGGCTCCATGCTTAGTGTGGAGCAGGACTCAATCTCATGACCCTGAGATCATGACCTGGGCTGAGATCAAGAGTCAGATGCTTAACCAACTGAGCCACCCAGGCACCCGCTGAGAATAATTTTCTCTCAGATTTACTTTTAGCTTCACTTGGAGCTTCACTTATTTTTCTCTGTATCCCTTCTCTCTTTTTTTAATTTTTAACAGCTTTATAGATATAATTCACATATCATACAAGTCATCTGTTTAAAGTATACAATTCACTAGCTTTTAGTATATTCACAGATATGTGCAACCATCATCACAGTCAGTTTTACATTTCCACCTGCTCAAATAGAAACCTTATATCCTTTAGCTATCATATTCTTATCCTCTCCTCTATGCCCACCCCCCAACTCTAAATGATCACTAATCTACTTTCTATCTCTATTAATTTCCCTATTCTGGGCATTTAATATGAATGGAATTATATAATTTTTCAAGATTCATATCTGTTGTAGCATGTGGCAGTTTTCCATTCTTTTTTCTGGCCAAATAATACTCCATCCTGTGGCTACACCCCATTTTGTTTATCTATTCTTCAGTTGATAGACTTTTGGGTTGATTCCACTTTTTGGTTATTACGAATAATGCTGCTATAAACATTTGTGTGCAAGTTTTTGTGTAGGCATATGTTTTCATGTCTCCTGGATGTAGTGTCTCCTTTAACCCTCCCAGTACTCCTAAGACCTGTTATTATTATCCCTGCCCCTTTTTTTGAGAGAGAGACAGCATGAGCAGGGGAAGGGGCAGAGGGAGAGAGAGAATCCTAAGCAGCCTCCAAGCCCAGCACAGGGATCGATCCACAACCCTGAGACCACGACCTGAGCGGAAACCAAGAGTCAGACACTTAGACTGAGCCCCCAGGCATCCCTGTTATCTCCTTTTGCACAATTGGAAACTGAGAACTGCAAGGTTAGGTTACTTGTCCAAAGTCTCATGACCTGTATAAGACAGAGCCAGGCCATAAACCCAGGCAGTCCAATTCAAATTTGCCATGCTACTTCTCTCTAGATCAGCTCTTCTCAGATGATCTTTAAGCTTTCCTTTTAAGGATATCTAAGAAATTGTACAAAAGTAATAAATATGCCCAGCCCCCTCCAGCCATTTACCCGTCATCTTACTAAATGCTACACATATTTCCTAAAGTGCACCCAGAAAATATAATTCTTACAAATGTAATAGCCTGCATAGAATTAGCACCACTTGCATATTTTACATCATTTTTTGAGTCACATTTTCTCACTTTGCCCCAAATTACACTTATCTTTCTTTTTTCTCTTCAAATTTTTATTTAAATTCTAGTTATTATCCTTCTAATACACAGTGTAGGTAGATGTTTGGAATGGCAAAGACCATCCCCAGACCATCTATTAACTAATACTCTTGAGGTAGATCCCCTCCCCCCTTAAATTTTCTTTGGAATGAAATCAATATTGCGTATTAGTTCCTTCCTTCCCACACTTCCTCTAGGTTAAAATTGAATTCTTTGAGATTAAGATTTTTTTGTGTGTGGCTTTAACATTAGCTTCACATGCCCTTGCATAAGCCCAACAATTGCTTGTTGACCCATTTTAACCTCTTTTGAGTGTCATCTTCAAAGTGTACCTGTCCTTGACAATGAAAGAGACCTCCCTATTGTCCTTCTACACAATCTTAGCATGGAGCTAAATGGCTTTCAGATGGAGGAGTTGACCAGATGAAGGAGACAAAGTAAACTCTTGTTCCTGAGTGACTTTGCTAAAGTTTCCGTTTTCTCTCTTAGAATGGTGCATTTCTATACAAGATGATGGACATTTTGACAGGTGCAAGTGCTTTGAACTATTGTGTCCGATAATTCTTTTGTCTTGGGTTTTCTTAGCAGAGTAGTATATCTTAGGATGCTGAGATGCATATTGTTTGCTTTTTGTTTAATGTGGTGAAGCCTTCCTTCTTGCTTTCCCTCCACCTTGCTCTTTAGGTCCTTTGTATGCATATCACTAACCCAGGTGGGAAGGCAGGCATTGGTGCAGGAAACTCTCCCTTAACCTCCCCCACCCTTTTTTTCCCCCTCAAAACTCTATATCCCTTTTCTTTGGTGTACTTCTTATGTTCAGGGGTAAGTAGAATCCTTAAGTAGTTCCACATTTCCATTTATTTATTTTTAATAAGGGCAGGTTTTCAATATTATTTATTCATTCAATAAATATGTAAGTGTCTACAATTGTCTCAGCCTAGTTGTTTACTTCTTGTCCAAGGAGGACAGAAAGAAAGAATACTATCCTTTTATTCTTTAAGAAAAAGGTATTAAAACTGAGTTTTAAACTTATAAAAAATGTTTATGCACAAATATGTTTACTTTAGTGTTATTTCTAATAAATGAAAAGAGTTAAAATGCACAATAATGGAGAAATGGCTAAGTTAAAATTATGGTACATCTATACTGTAGAATATTATTCAGTGATTAAAATGTTTATAAAGAGATTGATATGTAGTGGGGGATGTTTATGATATAGTGTTAAGTACAGGAGGTACTGTCTCAATCACATAAATATATGTATGGGGAAAAAAGGTATGCCAAAATGTCAACTATAGTTATTTCTGGGATAGGAATGAAAGAATATTGTATTCCCCTATCTATGCTTTCCTATATCTATAATTTATTACCTTTTTTACAATGAGTTTCATGTCAGATTAAGAAGTTCTTTTTTAAAAAATTCAAAGCAAACTCAAGGAAGCCATGGGAGACTTGGAAATATGATAGATAATTACAGCCAGGCATTAAACTAAAGCTAGAGGCTGAGTCCAAAATCTGGGAGTGGGTTACCAGAATCTTCCATATGAGTGCTTGTTCAGGTAGTGTTTTGTTATAGAGTCCACCAGTCGCATTAACTGAGAACTTCTCCCTGCTCAGCAGGGAGTCTGCTTCTCCCTCTGACCCTCACCCCTCTCATGCTCTCTCATTCTCTCTCTCAAATAAATAAATAAAATCTTTTAAAAAAAGAAATTATCTAACTGAGAACTTCAACATCTTAGTGTCATATATCGAGCCCATGGGATGGGTGCAGCAATGCTGACCTGGTAGGACAAAGCCAAAAAACAGAACTCAGGACAGAAAGTCAGGCCTGGATAGATGAGATGGTATAACAAAGCCAAACTTTCTGGAAATGGGGTATCAGGGGAAAAGTCCAGACTTTGGCTACCACAACAGCAGAGGTAAGAGCTGCCAGACATCAAATAAGTAGATGCAAGAGGCAAAAGCTGCTGGAGCAGTATGGATTCAAACATTTTAAGTGAAGTTCGGGAGCAAGGATTCAGGTGTTGGGCAGTTCACATTAATCTCCTAAAATGGGATTTAGGCTAGTACCTCAGTTGAAAATCTAAGGCATGACTTTAAACATCTCGAAGGTATAGCTTAGTGTCAGCAAATCTATTTTAGCCTTTTCCAAGAAAGGCATTTTTTTTATGCCTAGGTTATTTAAATAGTAATAATGAGAGCGAAAATTTACTAAGTACCTATTATATGCCATACACTGTGGCCTCATGCTGTGCTAGACATTTGATGTGCTTTACAAATATTACCTCATTTTATGATATGGGCTTTTCCATCCCATTTGAAAGAGGAAGCAATTGAGCCTCAGAGAAATAAGAAACAGATGTCACACAAGTAGAAAGTGGCAGAGCAAGGTCTACAACCCAGGTCAATTTGACTGCAAAGCCTATAGTCCTAACCACCTCATTACTGATCAGTGGCTAATTCTGTGTGGCCATTTGTATATTCTGTGCTTCTTTTTAGAAAAATCTGTCTGTCAGTAAGCCAAAAATCCTGTCTACCAGGGATGAGACTAATAGATATCATGGATAAGCAAATTGCATCAAGATCTTTGTGCCTATTAAAGGGATATTACTAATTAAAAATTATTACATATTTGAAAGTTATTAAGAGAATAGATCTTAAAAGTTCTCACCATAAGAGAAAAAAATCTGTAACTGTGTATGGTGACAGATGTTGACTAGACTTCTTGTGATCATTTCACAATATATACAATCATCAAATCATTATGCTATACACCTGAAACCAATATAATTCTATATTTCAATTATATTTCAATTAAAAAGTACTATTTATGAGAGTTAATTTGGAAACAAGGAAGTCTTAGTACCCTTAAAATCACACCATGGGTCTGGAGATGACTCCCACATCTCTAGCCAAGGTAAATAGGGAAGAAATGAAAAATTCCTAAAAAGGAAGTCTAGGTAGCTGTGAAAATTAGTCTGGATTCACTAAGGATCTAAATGGAGTAAGTAAGGCATTAAACAAATAAGATTTCTAATTAAAATTGAAAACACAACACACAAACTTTTATGTGATTCTTTGGATCACTGAACTGTACCCCCTTTAGACCAAGCGTCTAAAGGACACCATTAAATATATAAGTATAAAAAAATCTTTACAGTGCAGTAAATATTTCTGCAGACTGAAGAATAAAATCAATTGTGCAAAGTTGAACAATAGATAAAAAGAGTAAATACTCCTTTGTTTCTTAGAGATTAACGTAGAGCTGTTGAATATCAGTTGCAACTTAATAACGTGCTCAGGTGCTTTGTTTTTTAATCACTCAAGATTTGACATGTTTTCTTCTGTTGAGTGAGAGTTCATGCAATTAGCTGCACAAAAAGCTACAGACACGCCTAGGTTACTTTACCTTAACAGGAGTAACTGTTGGCACATCAACGGCATACTCTCCATCACTCATTCTAAATCTAGCAGGCCATTCCAAAAGTAACCATGTGGCTTGAACAAACATCATTCACTTCCTGTTAAAAAAAAAAAAGAGTTAGTGCCTTCAGCAGTAATTCTCATCCCTTTCCCAAGAGATGTTTCAAACACTCTGTGATGAAATTATGCAAAGAAAATAGGAAATAAGTGATTCTGTGAATGTCACAAAATGGCAATGGGGAAGTGTCATAGCAGCCCTTGATCACCTTGGAAGAAGGTGAAATTTTTAAACATCTGCTCAAAGATACCAAATAAATTTCTGTTTTGTTTTATTTTTTAATGGTTCAAGTGCCAATCTGAAGATTCCATTTTGAAGTTATAGCATTGATATCAAGATATCCTTTTCATTCTATGAGTGTACTTAGAAGAGGGTGGGGCAAGTTTCAACGTCAAATAAACCGAAGTAAAGGATAAATAAAAAACAAGAAATGAAAAATGATGTAATACAAAGCTATTTAGCTCTGCCAGATGCTTCTGTAACAAACAAGGGATCCCAGCAAGTCAAATGCATGCCCTATTGTCTTCCCAATAGCTTCTGTAACAAGTTATTTGATGTGGAAGCAAACTTGGGCCCAGCTCTTGACAGTTTTATAACCCTTGGTCAAAGTTTTCAACAGTGTTTGCGGCAGGCATGACTAGGCAGCTAGATTACACATACTGACTTTCCACTTGCAGATACACAATATTTACTTTTCAGGGTGAGCCAGTACACCAGCTGACCAATTAGGCCACAGATTCTTTGCACTTCATGAAAGCTAAGCAAGACTGTGAATATAAAAGCCACAGAAATACATGCAGCCTGAACTTTCCTTTAATGTGTCCTCATATAATCTCCATAAAAAAGAATGCCAATGACCAGTAGTCTTCTACATCAGAGCCACTTAGGTGTAAAAAAAACACAGAAAGTATCTCTCAAGTGGAAAGTTCTAGTTCTGTGGTTTATGAACACCTACATTCAGCAGTAGATAGAACCAAACTTTAGAACAAAGACAAAGTTTTACAAGAAATATGAATTCCTAGGGCACCTGGGTGGCTCTGCCGGTTGAGCATCCGACTCTTGGTTTTGGTTCAGGTCATGATCTCATGGGTCGTGGGATCCAGCCCCACACTGGGCTCCGCGCTTAGCAGGGAGTCTGCTTGAAGATTCTCTCCCTCTGCTCCTCCCCCCACTCGCTCGCTCTCTCTCAAATAATTAAATAAATCTTAAAAAAAAAAATCTGAATTCCTCTAACCTCCCTGTCATTCAGCCTGTAATTCAAGTCCTTCCACAATCAACTGTATAATTTTTAAATCAATATTTCCTTCAATGAATTCTTTCTTCTAGCCAAAGTGATCTTTTTACGATACCATGAACACATGGTATACATTCCTACCTCTCTGCCTCTACTCAAACCATTGCCCCCCACCTAGAATGTTATCATTCCTCCTCCCTCTCTCCTAGATCCCACACCTCCATTTACCAACTCAAAACCCAGCTCCTCCATGATGACTTCTTGGCCACAGGGATTTCTGTCTTCTCTGATCTCCCTTAGCATTAACTGTTTATCTATTCATTTAATACTTATACTGCTGCATGACCATCCTCATATCATTATATAACCTTTTATTTTAGTGTGTTTTGCCCTCCCAAAAAAGTTTCCAGTCACCTGTAGGCCGCTTCTACTTGAGTGGCTGCCGTCCTGCAAATTCAACAAACCTACCACCAAGCCTATATTCTTCTTAAACTTCTATTACCAACACCACTATTCTTACATTTCAGCTAGGCTCAAAACCTTAGATTCACCTTTGAGTCTCCTTCCTCTTACATACTTCCCATATTAAACCAGTCACCATCTCTTATAACCAACCACTTGCCTTTCCCATTTCCAATGCCAACTCAATTGCTCAGGCCTTTATTTCCTCACTTGGGCTATTTGAAAAGATTCCCACTGTCTTCTCTGTCTCCAGTTTCTCCCAACTTCAGTCCAATCTAAACACCTCAGCCAGATTAATCTTCCTATATGTAGCTCTGAATCACATTACTATTCTGAGAAAATACCTTCAATGGCATCTCAAGGCCTACCAAATAAAGTATAAATTCCTCAGTCTGGCATTAGCTAGGCATAGTGTCATGGATGCTGTGGTGTGCCACCCAGATCCCCCTTCAGTACCAAAGCATGCATTCCCCGATGCTAGCAGTGTTGGCTTCTGACAAGTCATAGTTTAATTCTTCCCCAGAAATTGCCATTGACCAAAAGGAAATGTTTGGCCCAAGATTTGCTTTCTCCCCAGAGGCAGACCACATTTAATAACTGATTACTATGGGAATACAAAGGCCCACCCCCCCTTGTCTCAATTCAGGACAATTTTTTACAGTTACGCTAACTCCTGTGTGCCATGTGGGATTAGCTGAGGCCTCTGTTGCAACTTCATTTCACCTCAACTTGTGCCTCTGCCCTATCCTACTTCTCAACTCCCTCACAAGGGTTGACCCTACGAGCATTTCCCAATAAACTTCTTGCACTGGAGTCTTTATTTCAGAATTTGTGTTCAAGGAACCCAACCTAAGACACCCAGCCATCTTTCTTTCATATCTTTCACTCTTGTCCTTCCTATATCCTACATTACAATCAAACAGTGATCTGCCATTCCTTAAAGATAACCTCATATATCACCACTTATTCATAAAAAAAAAAAATCTACTGAATATCTAAAATGTTCCAGACTCTATAAGAGGTATTTACTGACCTTAAGAGATATAGACAAGTAAACAAGCCATTAGAATCAGTGTGAACAGTGATTTCCCAGCAGAGACCACAGAAACAGCAAGGGAGAAGCATGTGCTAGATAGGAAACAGCATGCACAAGGTCCTAGAGATAAGAAAACTCACCTGGTGAGTCAGTGCACTGCAAGTGCACTTCAAAATGGCTGAAGCTCAGGGAGCTTGAGTGGTGGTGGCAAGAGAAGAGGCAAGCGATGTCAGCAAGGCCAGGACAAGAAAGGCAAGTAGCCTTATTTAGAACCTGGACACTATCCTTAGGGCAAATAGAAGCTATTAGAGGGCTTTAAGGGAAAAAATCACAATGATCATATTTGTGCTTTAGAAAGGTTTATCTGGCAACACTGTAGAGAAAGAATTAGCTGGAGGAAAAATCAAAGGTAGATGCTACTGCAGTCATTCAGGCAAAGGTGGTGGTGAACTGACCCAAGCAGGTGGCAGTGGAGATGGAGAGACCTGGGCAGATTCAGGAAATATTAATAACTACAATATAAAGGGCATGATGGTTAATCATATGGAGAGTGATAGGAAGGGAGGAATCAAAAATTGTGTTTCTGACTTAAATAATTGGATGTACATTATCCACTGAGATAGGACACACTGAGGGATGCAGAAGTGGGGAGAAAGATGGTGAGTTTGGTTTTGGCCATGCTAGACATAAGGTATTTAAGTAAGAGTTGGATATGTGGGTGTGCACAGCAGATATATAGGTCTGACTTTTAAGAGGCACAGGCCAGGCATCATGAGCATCTATATGGTTATAGAAACCTGGGGATGAGATTGAAAAGAGCTGTTAGACTAACAGAAGAAAACCTAGTAAAACGTGATATCACAGAAGCCAAGAGAACCCTTCAAGATGAAGCATGTGGTCAAAGGCATCAAATACTACTCATGCCAAATAAAATAAAGACCAAAAACAGTGTCCACTGATTAGAAACATCTCTGTACCTTTGCTCAAACTATCCCAATAACCAAAGAGCATAGAAATGTTTTCCATCTTTCAAGGATCAGCTCAAATTGCCTCACATTTGCATAGTGATTTACTGAACATCATCACAGGTTACCTCATTTACTGACTAAAATTTTGAGAGTTAAAACTATCTCATATGTCTTGACTTCCTTCTCAGCTCATTAAAATGTGGATGCTGTAGGTTCAGGAAAGGAACCAAATTTGCAGAGAAAATTTCATTGCAGAGAATGTATGGATGGGATGAGCTGGTCCACAGGTTGGAACTATTGCTTGTCCCTGTCAGGAAGATGGTACAACTAAGCCCATGTCCATGTAGGAAGAGTCATCAAGAAACGCCCTTTTTTGTTTAGAAAAGAACATGAGACAGTCTTCAACCTTATATTCAAACTTAGTGAATGAAATGAGGTGAAAAGGCCATCCTACCTTTTCACTGTGACATTAACCCCTTGGACCATTTTAGAGCTAGATCTGGAGCAAAATGCCCCCATCTGGATCCTGACGGACACTCGCCCCAAAGAGAGGCCATGAGCAGCCACCGATAAAGCAGGCATTCATCCTCTGACTGTTCATTTTTCTGGAGTGTAAACATCTAAAAAGGAAGGCCCATTTGAATAGGTACAACTGCCAACTTCACTTACCCCTTCATATTTAATGAGCCTATTTTGTTTTATGAATGCTTCAAAATTGCTGACAGAGAAGAGGCAGCTATGAATGGAAAACATGAAGCAACTTGCTGAGCCCTCATTGTGAGCTTGATGGCTTGCCTCTTCGTGCCCTCACAGACCTACATTTCCATGATTCCTTTAATTCTCTTCAAATGCGAAGAGAAGAATTCTCGCTCTCCTCCACAGTGTTAACATGAAAGAATATTTCAAAGCAGCTTGAGGGAGATGCAGGCACCAACACAGTAACTGTTAACATGGTAATAAGTGGTACATTTTTGGAGACATTCAGCCCAGACCTTCAAAATTCACTGCACAGCTACAGGGCCAGGAATCAATCTGCCCTTCCCCTCTCCCTGCCTAAGCAACATTCCTCTTAAGTTCTCAAGAGGCCCTGGCATTTAGAACATTAGCAAATATTGACTCAATGCCCAGAAGAATAGCTTGAAAATGGTGGGTCCTTGATGGTAGTGACACTCAACAATGGTAAAAAATAGCCCTTTAAGCCATAGATTTTTATAAATGGAGAGAAGACAGAGTAGTGAAGATGAAAGTTAAAGGTAAAAATTTCCAGCAGCTTCTATCTGGAATATGTTAGTTAAAGAAACTTCAGCTCAGGCAGACAGCCTCTCCTTTGCTGTCCTACC